CCTATAGAGAGTACTAGTATTTAATAGCGTAAGTCCTAAAAGAATAGCTATAAATAGTAAGTAATTATAAAGCTCTTTAAGAAGGTAATAGCTATTACTTATTATTTAGACTCTTAGTATAGTTAGTATAACTATAGTCCTAGCCTTAGGGCATCTATATATCCTTTTTATTATAAGGTAACCTAGCCTATAATAGACACTATTAATATAATAAGTAATAAGTTAGTATCTAGGTATATAATATATATACTATTATTTAAAAGTAGTTCTTAGATTCTTATTTACCTAGTAAATATCTATAACACTAGAGCTTATATAAACTAAGAGAAGCTAGATAAGTATTTACTTACTATAGCTTTACTTAAGCTATTTAATAAGTAAGATATCCTATATATAGTAAAGTAAATAAAAGATAAGCTAGACTAACTTATTAGCCTTATCTAGACCTTTTTTTACTGTCTATAAATATAGAAGTAATTCCCTAAAGTAATTAGTTTTAATAATACCTATAACACTAATTACTTTAAACTTCTACTCTTCTAGGCTACTAAATAGACCTACCTTAGGTCTATTTATAATACTATATTTAGCCTTATTAATAATAAAAGGCTAAAGGGTTTCTAGTTTCTCTTAGTAAGTATTTACTAACTTATAGACTAACACTTAGTCTATTACTTTACTATTATTATTATAGACTATAATAAATAGATAAAGGCTATACTAAATAAGTAGTTCTTTAGTGTCTAGTAATAACTTTATATCTACTATATTAATTCTAATATTATACTTAAGGCTAAGTAGAAGTAGCTTAAGGACTACACCTATAGTAGTAATAGTAGTAAGTTTAATAATAAGGCCTATTAGCTAATAATATAAGTAATAGCCTAGCTTAGTAATAAGGACTAGGCCTATATTACTACACTAGTAGATAAGCCTCCCCTTATATATATTATAAGGTCCTAATAATATAGAAGCTTATTATTTTTACTAAGACTAAGTATACCTTTAAGGAAGCTTAGACTAAGCTTTATAAAGAGTTTATTAACTAATACCTAATCCTCTAGTACTTATATATAATATACTTACCTTTAAGAGTACAGTAGGCTTACTACTTTATCTAAAAATACTAGAACTTTAGTGTTTATATTACCTCTAGTATAGAATTAAGTAATAATAATATTAAAGGTTATCTCTTAAATAGTCTTAGTTACCTATATTAACTTATTAATATTATATAAATATAATTAGTAACTAAGAGCTATACTTTAGGTAAGTATATATAGAGGATAAAGTCCTTTAATACTAGAGTATATAGGTCTTTACCTTAAGCTCTTTAGTAAACTTTATATACTACTTTCTTAAAGTGTCTAGTGTTAATTAGAAAGTAATACTAGCTAATAAAAAAGGTAATACCTTTTAGTAAAAGACTATTCCTAGACCTTATTAAAGAATATAGTCTAGACTATACTATTTTAACTAAGCTTAGTATCTTATACTACTATAAGATCTTTACTAAAATACTTAATTTAGTAGCTTTTAGTAAGTAAAAAGTATACCTTTAGTAGTGTCTTTAAAAAATATCTTCTTCTAATTTATACTACTAGATCCTTAATCTAAAGATTATAGTATTCCTCTATAGTAGGCTAAAAAATATAGTATAGCTTATCTTATTATAACTATTTTTACTAAAAAAAAGCTACTTAACTAGCTAAACCTATACCTTTAGTAAAAGCTAAAGTATAAAAAGTAAAAAGTAAAGTTATTTACCTAAAAGTAGAAATAAGTTAACACTAGCTAGGTCTATATAAGAGAGAAGTTAACTAAGTTAAAGCTAGATTTTAACCTTATCTTAGTAATAAATAAGAAGCTAGTCTAGTGTTCTTAGTAGTAAAAAGATAACAAGGAATTATATAAATAGATAGCTACTTTAGCCTAGTGTTTAGAGAATATAAAGTTAGTAAAAAATAGTTAGTAGTAATAATAAATCTTTATAGCTATATTATAAGAAAGTAGCTAGGTAGTAAGTATTTTAAATATAAAAAAGGTTACTTTTCTTAAGGTAAATAGGAAATAGGTATAGTAAAAGGGCTAACTTTTATAGCTATAGGAAGTAGGCCTAGTAAAAGAGGTAACCTTTATAGCTATAGGAAGTAGGCCTAGTAAGAGAGGTAACCTTTATAGCTATAGGAAGTAGGCTTAATAAGAGGGCTCTTTTTATAGCTATAGAAAGTAGGCCTAGTAAGAGAGGTAACCTTTATAGCTATAGGAAGTAGGCCTAGTAAAAGAGGTAACCTTTATAGCTATAGGAAGCAGGCTTAATAGGGGGGCACTTTTTATAGCTATAAAGCAGGCTTAATAGGGAGGCTATTTTTATAGCTATAAAGATAGTGCTTCTTATAGAGGCTATTTCCTATAGCTATAAAAAGAACCCCCTTATAGAGCCTATTTCTTATAGCTATATAGGTTAATTAGTTAATAGTAGAAAATAATAGTAGAATAGCAGTGTTAGTGTAATTACCTTTACTGCCTTTATAGGAATATACTTTTTTTTTAAACTAATTAGAGAAATAGAAACCTTATGCCTATATAAGACTTATACCTATATATTAATTCCTTATGCCTATATATTAATTCCCTTAATTTAATAATAAGTCTACTTTTTATACTATTAAGTACTTTACTAAGTAAGTCCTTAATATATTTATAGCTTTTACTAACTATATTAGTAAGCTTTTAATAGCTAATAAAGACTAAAAGTTAAGTGTAAAGTAATAGGTAGCTTAGATTTTTTAGTAAAGAATATTAAAGATTTTACCTAGCGTTTATATTTTAAATAATAAATTAAAATATAAAATATTAAACTAAAGTATATAAGGGGAGAATAATTAGCTAACTACTAAGCTATTCTCTAGTAATATACACTAGGCATTATCCTTTTTTTACTATATTATAATCTATAATTTAGTAGACTAAATAAATATCTAAGACCTTACGCTTATTATCTATAAAATTAGTAAAATCTCTACTTATAGTGTCTATTAGAATAAATACTTTACCTTTTACCTAGAGATTATAGCTAAAGGCTTAATTATTTAGATTAAAAAGAATATAGTAAAAGACTATATTTACTAAAAGCTAAGCTTAAAGGCCTTAATAGATATTCTAAATACTTTATAGCTAGTAGTAAAAATAATCTATACTATCTAAGATAATAACTTTATTACCTATAATATTAATAATAATATACTTTACTAGTGTATATATAATAAAACTAAAGAGAGTATATAGGCTACTACTACTATTTACCTTAAAATATCTTTATTTTATATTAAGTCTTATAGTTAAAAGTAACTTAGAATACTTAATAACTAAATATATAATAATATATATAAGCGTAATAATAATTAGCTTAAGGAATTAAGTATAAGCCTAGCTAATATAGCTAATATTTACTCTATAGATATAGTTTAGCTCCTAGAGAGTATAGAAATTAAGTAAAAACATAGTTATTCTTTTAAATTATAACTAATATATAATAATAATTAATAAATAGTAAAGGATTACCTATAGGGATAAGAATAAGGTAAATAACTTTATATATATAGTAAATAAAAAAAAGTATTTAAAGGATTATAAATAATACTAGGTAGTTATAATAATTCTATTACTTATAGTTTAGTTTATTTTATTTATAAATTATCTATATTTTAAGATAAAAAGTAATTTATATATAGGTAATTATTATACTATAGAATACTTATTCTATAGAGGATTTACTTTATAATATATAGGCTATTAACTAGCTATTAGCTAGCTAATGCCCTAGGAATATTAGGAACATTAGTAGAGTAATTCTCTAGGAATTCTCTAGGAATTCTCTAGGAATTCTCTAGGAATTCTCTAGGAATTCTCTAGGAATTCTCTAGGAATTCTCTAGGAATTCTTAGAGAATTATTTAGCTATTTATACCTAGAAATTACTACTATTTATAGATAAATCCTCTGCCTATTTAGAAAAAGGAGAGGCATTAAATTTATAATTAATATACTTATACTAAAGTATAATAAAGATTCCCTTAGACCTCTAGAATATTATACTATTTTCCTTAGAGATAGTATTTCTACTATTTAGTATACTATAAAGTAAGATTAATATTTATATTTACTTTTATAAGTACTATAAAATACTCTTTATAAACTAAAGTAAGTGTAGTAAAGTTATTTAGAGTATAGTATTATTTAAGAACTTTAGTTAAAGCCTAAAGTAATATATCCTTTTAGTTTAAAACTTTATTATTAGTTACTTTATTAAGAATCTTTATTTAAGCTAGGCTAAGTAGTACTAGGTTAACTATAGATTAAACCTAAGCCTTAATCTTTTTATATACTTATTTCTTATTAAAGAATTTATTAATATTATTTTTTTATATACTTTTAATTAAGTAAAGTATAATAATATTTATAGTTCTAATTATAGCCTATTAAGATAATAGCTTATCTTTATTATATTCTACTAGCTAGTTATTAAATAACTAGTATTTTAGCTTATCTTTAAAGTTCTCTTAAGAATTACTGTCTAGGTTAATATAGTCCTATAAATTCTTACTATAGGCGTAATATTTAAGTATAATATACTACTTAGGCTAATTATACCTAGTAACTAGCTTAATTAACTTATTAAAGTCTATTAACTTCTTAGTTTTAGTTATAGTAACTTAATAGATTAAAATTAACTAAGAAATAGTTCTAAAATAAAAGATTAAGAAATATAGACACTAGATTTAATTATAATATCTAGAGGGTTCTTTATATAAAAGCTAGGCTTATAACTGTAATAAACTGCAGCGTCTTGTTATATAAGAGAAAAGTAGTTAACCTATTAAGAAACTATATATAAACCAGAGAAGCAGTAGAAATACCTTTTCTAGACGGTCTGTGCGGGTAGTATGCTACATCCTGTGGCGGCACTGCTGGCACTAGCCACACGAAGCTAATCCAGCTTCACGACAGAACAACAGTGTTCAGGAGCAGGAAACGGAAATATCTCACCTGCGACCATGACCAGCCGTATCGCTTCGTCACGTACTGCAAAAGAATCTCTTGCGCAAAGCGGCCCAGCGTCGTCAATAAAAAAGTGAAGAGCAGTAAGAGGACGCGAGAACTTCTCCACAACATCCATAGCAAGGCCTTGCCCAGCTTTTCCAGCTCTGACCGGATTGGATGGTGCCAAGGTAGCGACTGGGTTGTCTCGGTGGGGCGATATCTTGGTTCTCTAGAAAGCGTTTCGGGGAGCATAAGAGATACAACAGTACCCAAGACAAGGCAGCCCAAGCCTGTGTAGATGGGGAGCCAAGCGTCTATCTTCATGAGAAAATAAACCAGAGGACTAGCGATCAACTCGCCTCCGACCACAGCGGCAGCAAGATAGGACAAGATAGTGGATCTTGCTAGATAGTAAGCCGGCTAGTCATGACGGCTGGATAGGAGAGGGGGAATACCTGTGCTCTGCACTCACTACATCCCCTGCAATAGTAAAGACCATAGCGTTAAAGACAGCCGGACCACCACCAATAAAGGTAAAGACAGCAGAGAGCCATGTTGCACGTGGAGGGAACACATTGGGCAGAGAGCCTGTGTTTCAGGTTAATCACAACGATTAGAAGCTTATATAAGGGGCAAAACAGCTTTCACAGAAACGCCACTTACAGACGAGAATGTAGAAGGCACTGGCCAGAGTGATTCCTAACAGGGAAAGGCTGAGCACCCACTCCCGCCCCCGTCTATCAGCGAGAAAGCCGTACGGAACGGCCGTCATAAGGCCTGGAATGAAATCCAGCGTGCTTTGCCACCCTCTGATAATCGACAACTCGTTCTGGACAGCCTTGGTCTTGCATCGCGATTCACCAGCGTTGGGGGGCAGATCCCAGTTGAGGTTGTGGCATATGATGTCCTCAAGCACTTGATTGAGCGGGATGGTGGCAAGGTACGCGCCCAACTCAATGAGGATAATGAGCAAGATACAAGTAGCGACGATGCTCAGACGCGCTCGTGGTATGGACTTTGTTCTGTGGGCATCTGGTGAGGGTGGGTGGGACTCGTCGCGGAGGACCGGAGCTGCGATCAGGGGGGTTATCTCGCTCTCCTCATCATTGACAGGCCGACTTTCGTGATGGTCTCGAGTCATGTTGTTAACGTGTGGTATGGTATATGGTCTGCAGGTGGTTGTTGGTTGTGTTGAAACTCGAAAGGAATCTGTACGAGGTTGGGGCGCTCGCCTTTGCATATAATCCTGGAATTCGTGGACCCTCACAGTCATGCCTCATCTATCCGTACTTGGATATAATTCGAGTGAGATTACGGATATGTACTCCGCTGGCAAAAGAGTTGACCCGCTTTAGGCCGCATCCCCACATGCGGGTAAACCACAATTGGGTTGGCCAATCGGGGAACTCCCAGTGCAATGGTTTGCTCCATCATTATACACCAACAGCCAACGCTGACGGAGCAGGCAATGGGGTTGAATTCTGCCTACCTATCTACAGCCTGAGCACCCTAAATTTGCACGCTGTTGATATTTTTTACAGGGTACCTTATTAGGAAGGTAGTCTGTGGTTGCCGAGCCGTATCCGTAGACGTGTAAGGATACCCTTGTAAGCAGATAAACACACATCTATGACCCTGCATAGTGTCTTATTCTCCACCCAGTGTCCTCTACCCATTATACTGGCAATTGAGTGGAGTGTTCCACACATATTGACGTTTCGAAATAGCGGTCAGGCTTCGATTTGTTCGAAATCTATTCGTACTCTAAGACAAAAGAACTGAAGTTTTACTTAGGACTTTACGGAAGAGACGCACATATTTTTGGACCAGTCAAGATCAGCGATCGAGCATTACTTAAGGTATCTTGGCCAAAATTGACATAATCAGCGAGTTCTATGTGCATGCTATTGTCCCGCAATCTGTGAAAGTTGTAGCTGAATAATTGATTGAATTGGTTCTAATAGAGCGACTGAGGTTGGACTAATCATGTTGCAACACAGGAAAACAAGAAGTGCTCTAGGCCCTGATAAAACTGAAGTGGCAGATGATGGCTCCTGCACTTGCTCATTCCCCCACCAACTACACAATGGGAAACTTGAGCCAGTCATTGTCCATTAATGGTCCTGGTTGAACTCTTTCCCCTTTTTGCGTACTGTGAATGAGCCTCGGCTAGGACGAGTCTAACGAGCTGCTCTACATCTTTGCTGTTGTAGTGCTGGCCGTTGCCCAGAGTGACCTTATTCTCGCTGTTGGAAGGGTGCAGGTGTGGGTACTAGCCACCAACGTCGGGCTTGGCATTGCCGTAGGCCCACACTATCTTGACTACGATAGCTTCATCCAATGCAGAATCGCGCTTGGCCAGGCTCGATACAGCAGCTGATGATAAAACCTCTCAGTCTATGTTTGGTTGTCGACAGAATCTAGGCTTGCCCAGGGAGAGACTTACAAAAGGGAGCGGCGGCAGCGGCGGCAGCGGTTGCGGTGACAAAAGCCACCTGGAAGACCTGGGAGAACTTCAAATTGGATGTTGAGTGCAGAAAAGGGGAGTGAAATGAATAAGGTGTGGATTTATGATACAGAGCTCAAAGCAGACGGTCTTGGGTAAGGGCGAAGCTCTCAATTTATCATTTTCTGCGTTTGCTTAATTCCCAGCCTTAGATACACACTGTTAAGAGTGAAGATGATCAGAGATTATTTCCTTCCAGGTGATAGGTAAGGTCTTACGTTTTCCTGAACAGGGGCTTAGTAGAGTCAAGGAGTTAGTCTGCATGCACTCCATTCCACTTGGCAATGTCACGTAAGTACTCTGGTACCTACGAAAATCGGGAAATATTCGGGCATCACCTTGTCCGGATTGCCCAGCCCAAATTTCGTTCTGATTCAGGGTCTTCGCCCCCCCCTCTCTTCTCTTCTATAGCCAAATACATTCTTCCTTCTCTTGAACCACCCCCTTCTCTGTCTTTTTTCCCAGAGTCCGTCCATTATTTCAAGTCCAGCTGCTGCATCATTGCTGCGGAAATGCGTCATCTTTGACTGTTTCATTCCATCATGTCCTCAGCTAAGGCTTTTCCTCTTGCCACTTATGAGAATCTCCCTATGAAGGACCTTGATGATCAAGAAGTTAAAGACCTGTCGATGCTCCATGGACGATTCATTCCTAAGCCACGTGGCAGGTGGGAAACTACCAAATGGATTTCACCCTAGTTTGCACACGCCATCTTTGAGGTCAGATCTGGAGCTTTGCTCATCACTTCGATTTTAACGAATCCTACGGAAATCCAGTGCCATATGTTACTATCGTCATACTGTTAGTTTAACAACTTGGATGAAGTTCAAATGAAACGCGAATGTTGTTTAATTCTAACATTTCGAAAATTTCTAGCGCCAGCTCTCGAGGCAGTCGAACTTGTTGACAGAACCTTTGAGGGCGACTTCAGCCAGGCATCTCCGTGGCGGGGACACCCTTCTCCTGAGCGCGATGCCGCCTGGGACTACCTTACTCATGGTATGTAAATGCCTCATTTGCCTCCAAATCATCAACAAATCTAAGAATTGCGAGCCTGCCGTAAGTAGTTTGGGTTTGAACCAGATGGTGGTGTGAATGTGCCCCTGGAGAATCTGCATGCACTGAACAAGTCCCCGGAAGTCGACTGGGAACGAAGCGATCCGGCTTTTGGCGGGGGTGCTGTTGGGCTATTGGAAGTGTTTCACCAGCTTCACTGTCTTGTAAGTTCATCTATCTGTTTTGTTTTTCCACAAAGCATTAGCCTAAGTAAATGCTGCGTAAGGCAGTTCAGACTACTGTCAGGTCTGAACTTACCAAGTGAAGGATTTAGTTTCCAAGCCAGTCGCAATAACTAATACTAGCTCAACAGAATACGCTACAAAAATGGACCTATATTGAATGGTATGAAGATCAGCTCCCGCCAGAGCTGGACGGTCCAGAATATCTACAAAGAATGCAACTAAGTAGGTTGAAACCTTCAAAAGTTTGTCTTCATTTACTAACCAACCAAACCAATCTACCAGATCGTTGTATTGAGATGCTTCGGATGTCTCTCATGTGCACGGCCGACGTGACTTCTATCCTGGCGTGGGAGGATCCTGAAGTGCCGCTAGGGAGGCGGGCGGACTTTGGCACCTTTCATCGATGCCGCAACTTTTACAAAATTGAGGATTGGATGTCTAGACACAAAGTCAAGGATTGATTAAAAATAGTTTGAGCATAGAGCGAAAAGCTTATAATTTGCTACTTCTCTTGAGTTGTAATGGTCTATTCTGTAGATAACCCTTATCACGTCAACCAGCCACCTTACGCTGCATTTGCAAAATGGGTGAATGGTCACGGGAGCCACCCACCCAGGTTGGGTATCAGTATAGGTCCTTAAACTTTCTCAATAGCAAATTCACAGCCCACCGTGGGAATGGATAGTATGCAATCTTCCCAGGGCAAGGTGCGCAGAAACAACATAGCGAGGCTGAGGAAGGCCAATGTGCTGTTGGTATGGTGAAGATAACTCCCAGCCCCCACTGTTAGTCTGGGCCGACGATTTGACGGACGGATTAGGTTTTTACTGCGGTGTAGGCCACAATGGCTGAACAAGGTAAGTGGGACCATCTGTAGGAGTTAGAAAGGTGGGTGGGTTATTGGCTACCTAGATTACTCCTCTCTATGAGCCTGTGTAGTCTCTGCTGTAACTGTGCCTGCGTCCCTGACTTCCTGCCCCCCTGAGCCTGGCCTCAATTTGCCGTTAAAACTATCGGGCTTGCCTGGTAGCCCCTCTTTACTCTATGTACTGGGGGATATTGTATGTAGTTTGGTAACCCAACCCGGTAGAACGTTGGATGGCTAGAACATGAGTGGAGGAATACTATCAGCGTTAGGCGCAGTTTTCTAGGGATAAAGAGCTCCGCTGCACCCGCCCGACAACCTGCTGAAACATTCATAGTGTGGGGACGCTACGACGCTAGACTGGCGCTACTTACCATACTGTCGGGACCAGACTCTCTCAAATCAGGCCATCTATCCCTGTTGCCTAAGCTACATGGGTGGGTCTAGGCGGTCATGTTGGATCTTTTGTCTAACAAGGGGCGTGTTGGTTATTCAGTGTCTATCCGCACGTACCTGTGGATCAGCTTTCTTCACTTTGCATTTAGCCTCATACCAGGCCTCAGAGGTGGCATCCAAGCCCCATCCATACGCACCTCCGACGCCTAAAGGGCTTCGGAAAGAGCTACCACGTGCTTCAGAGGGGCATGCCGCTTAGCCTTCGGTTTCAAGCTAGATTGGGCTGTTGGCCAGCAATACATACTCATAAACCAATAAACCTGCCTAGAATAAAGTCAATAATGTCCATGTTACTAGATGCCCAATTCAAATTTGAGACAACAAATCGGCAATAAAAACATCTCAAGGAAATAGGTGATAATAATGATGCTGATATTAGATGATGATGATCTCGCATCATCAAGACTAGGTCGATAGAACTTTGTTTTTCTTCTCCCAAGAGAACCTTAGGATTTCAAAAAGGCCTAACAAAGATAGAATATACTGTAAAGCAAACTGTAATCCCATCACTTAGGAAATCGATACTACGAGGACTGATTACTAAGTATTTATATAACCTCACTGCATTAGCGTGGCTATTTCTAACCCATGCTGTTTATTCGCCCCTTGAGCAAGGCTAAGTTCCTTTACATGCCCTCTCCACTAGCCCCTCCAACTTCCAACTTTCTTCTCATATGTTAATGCTGTCATATCTCTCTCTATTCTGTCTCGACAATTTCAGAAAATAAGCGTCTAAATCGATCGCCAAATTTCTTCTGTAGGCTAGCAAAGTCATCACGTAGTAATTTCAGGAAATAGAGGCCATTCAATTGGAGAGCCACAAATTCCTTCTTCACGAAGGCAAGAGAGACCAAAACCCACTCAGTGTAGGTGCAGACAGACAGCAGTATTGTTTATCTCTAGTGGCATTCTTACAAGCTTTCTTTTAATAATTCCCTTCGTCCTTTCCACCCGACAAACTCTTACCGACAAGGATTGCGCCAAGTTACTATCGCCGTACTGTATGCTCCTATTGGTCAGTGTGTTCCGAATACTACTTCTTCTGACCTACAAAATAGCTCCTGCGTTAGAAGCGGTCAAATACAAATAGGTGACCTACCAGAACAGTTTTACTCAGCCATCAGCGTATCGCGGGCAGCCCACATTAGAGTTAGAGTAGGCCTAGAACAAGCTTGTTGCACAAAAGTCCCCCATGATGCGTACAGCCCTTGAAATACTAATCGCTTACTATTCCCAGTTGAAATAATCAATGTGCCCCACAATAGACTTTCAGAACTCAACAAGTCTGCGGAAGGCCCATGGCGACGTCTCTCTGAAGAACAAGGCGGGGGTGTCGCCGAGTTCATCGAAGTGTTTCATCAACTTCACTGCCTCGTAGGTGTCCACTATCTGCCGCCTCTGGACGGACGCAAGCTAATGTGCATGAAGAATCTGGTTCGCCAATACACTTGCCATGATTCGTACGACTGCAGTGGGGAAGTGCCGTTTGGCGACACCCCAGCAATGCTACGCCGCCATGTCGACCATTGCATTGAGAGCATTAGACTCAATCTAATATGCACTGGAGATGTCACGCCCTTCTTGGTTACACTTAATCCTAAGAACAAGCTTGGGGAGTCAGCGGATTTTGAGACTCTCCACAAGTGTCAGAAATTTGTTAAGTTGGCAGAGTGGTCAAAGACGCACGTGGCAAGTCACAAACTGTTTAGGGTAGGTCACAGACAACCGGCAAGGCCCAAGGCCTTGTCTGATCATTCCTACGGAGTCGAGACATGAACGGCGTTAAAGGATGCTGGTGTAAGTGGTATTCATAGTGCAGGCTTGTTGCGTCACACGTGGTGCATGCGCTTAGTAACCGCGATACACAACTGTTGGACACAAAGAGCCAAAGCTAGCTACAAACAGAATCTCCTCAATAAAGGGGCAACATAATACTGGTTGGCTACTCTGCATTTACAGTGACAGTGGCCTCTCTCAGCCCTTTCGCTGTTGCAGTTACAACAATTTCGCCCGCATCGCCATTGATGGAGCGGACAATGGCGAGTGCCAATCCACTCATAGCGTTCCTCGTGAGAGATGGGAAAGGAGTTTGGTCAATCGGGCTGCCATTGTCCGTTGCCACAATCTCACCTGGCCCTGTGATAGAGAATGTGATGCTGTCATCTGCAGTCGGAACAACCTGACCCTCCTCGTCCACAACAGAAACAGTGATAAACGACAGGTCGGAGCCATCTGCCGAGATAGCGCTGCGGTCGGCATTTAAGGTAAGACAAGCTGCGGGACCAGTTGTGTTTGTCGTTGCCTCAGCCCACACCGAGCCATCCTTGTACGTGACAACATAGATTGCCTGGGGAGAAAGTCACGTTGTTCCAGCGCAACCGCCAGGAGTAAGGTTCTCGAGAGACCCTCCCAGCTGACTCGCCATTGACGAACAACTCGGCCTCATCCGCAGATGTAAAGACGTGGACTGGAGTTATCTCGCCCTCCCGCTCGGGACCCCAGCTCCAGTGGGGCAACATGTGGGCAGAGGGAAGATCAGGGCGCCATCGAGCTTGGTACAAATAAAATCTGTCCTTCCTGAACCCAGCCAGATCAATTATGCCAAAATAGGAACTTCTCGCGTCTTCCTGGTAGAGGAAGGGCGTCGGCTCGCCTAGGTAGTCCCACCCTGCCCAGACAAACTCTCCAGCTACATATGGATGCGTGTCTTGCTCGTAGAAGACGTAGTCGGGACTGGCGGACCAATTCAGGTGGTACAAGTCGTAAGCGCTAACTTCCAGGGATGTAGAGATGCCTACACCTTCCTCTATCACGGCAGTGATGTTGGTGGCAACTGGGAACAAGTAGGCGCCGCGTGTGCTAATCGTGGCCGCACTCTCAGTCGACCAGATCAGACTATCAGGATAGGCATCGCGATACGAGGGGAAGACGGGCATGTAGTTGCCTCCACCTCCCTCTCCCTGATAGTTCAGGCTCTTAATGTCAATAACATTTGCAAGCGGATCTCCAGCCTGGGCGTTGTAAAGCGATGCGGTAACTGGCCTGGTGCCGTCTTCCTCGTGAACAATGTCGTAAAGTAGTTGGCCTCTCTCCCCCACAGCTGCAGTCCTCTGTTCTGGAATCTCATTTCCGATACTCCAAGAGACGATTGATGGATGATTGAAATCTCTCCTGATGAACGAACGAAGGTCCGCTTCATGCCAGTCGGGGAAGATCAAGTGGAAGTCATTTGCCATCTTTGCTTCATCCCACGCATCAAAAGCTTCGGCCAGGACCAGGAAGCCAAGGCGATCGGCAAGATCCAAGAGCTCCGGTGCCGGGGGGTTGTGTGCGGTGCGAAGCGAATTGCATCCCATTTCTTGCAGCTCTTTCAGCTGTCTCTCGGCGGCCCGAATGTTGAAGGCGGCTCCAAGGCTGCCAAGATCGTGATGGCTGTTGACTCCGTGAATGGGCACCTTTTTTCCATTGACTAGAACGCCTTGGTTTGGATCAAAGACGAGCGAGCGAATGCCAAATGTTGTTTCGTACTGATCGATGCTGGTGCCGTCCTTAGTTGAAAGAGTAGTGACGGCTACGTAAAGCTTCGGGGTCTGGTCTGGCGGTGGGCCCCAAAGTAGGGGTGAGTCCAGTGTAAGCGACCCGTTGATTGAGGCTTTCCCTCCTGGCGGTACCAGAAGCGATGTTCGCTCAAAGGTGCCGACGACATCTCGTCCTTTAGCCTTGACTTCTGTTTCCACAAAGATCTCCTGTTCTGTTTCGCTTTCACTCTCCACGGTGACTGTCAGGTCAATCGTGGCCTCTTCGGCTGACACGAATGGTGTTGTGATCTTCGTTCCATGGTTCGCCACGTGGATCGGGTCAGTCTTCATTAGCCAGACACTCCGATAGAGTCCAGCACCCGAATACCACCTTGAGGAGTTGACGTCATTTTCCAGTCGAATGGCCAATTGGTTAACACTGTCGAGGTCAACATAGGGGGTCAGGTCAAGTCTGAAGGAGGCATATCCGAAAGGCCAGCCCCCAATAAGTTCGCCGTTCAGCCAAACCGCTGCGTATGCCATTGCACCGTCGATGTCGAGGTAGATGGACTTGTTTACGTCATCTCTCGAGAAGATAAGGTTGCGACGATACCAGCCGACACCATTGATTGGCAGACTTCCCATGATTCCAATGATTCCGGGAGCTTTGAAAGGGCCTTTGATGGCCCAGTCATGGGGTAGGTTGACGGACTCCCAGGCGCTATCATCAAAGGAAGCCTGCGTGTAGGACACATTCTTGCCTGGAGCCTGACCATCCGGACGCTGGTAACGGTCGCTATTGAAGATGAAGTCGTTCGCGGTAGGTAGAATCCATGGTCTCAGTTTGTCATGGTAAGAAAGGTCGTCTGGCGGTGAGGTAAAGCGATTGAATTTCCAATCGCTGTTGATGCTGACTCGCTCCCGGTTGGCAACGACATGCTCTGTGCCACAGCCCAGAAGCACTAGAATGCTCAACCATAGGCTTCGGGAAATGGCAGTCACTCTCATGATTACAAGTTCAAGAGAGATGCCAGATGGAACTTGGAATGACTGATGGTGAGAATGCTTTTGGATGAATTTTTTGCCCCTTAAGTACCTGAAGCTGCTGCCTCTTGTTACGCAACTCCATCTCTTTCGGCTCCAGATTACCCGAAGCCCGAAATGAGTGAAGAGATCAAGGATATGCCTCGCCGCAGTGCTCTGTAGCGCCGAACATAGTCATATTATACGCGTATCCCTTAGGCCGCGAGGTAACCCCATTTCCGCCAAGGTAGGCCCCCCTCCACCTTCACCCCGCACTTTTAGCACTACTGTATACACTAGTTAAATAGGATAACCACTAGAGAGCAAGCTAGCTATAAAGATTGGTGTGTCTACTATGGTTGACCTTCCTCTCAAGGGGAGGTCAATAGCACCAACTAGATATATACCCAATGGGTACGTGGAGGTTCATGTGCCTACAGGGAATATGTCCTGTGGTGGCCGCCTATCTGTCTATTCACCTAGGTGTCCTGTGACACTTTGTAACGCTAGATTCTCCCTCTAGGCTCTGACTATGGCGTATAAAGTATATGTATCGGAAACCACTGCCTCTAAGCGTGTAGCCCTTGCTGCCTGGGAGCTGTGACTATAACCTGGTCTGCCTTGTGATAGATACTTGACTTAACGCCTGAGAGCATCGCCTAGCTGTCTGAACTGGGCCTCACTGAGACCGGAGTACTGTAAGCAGGCCGAGCCGCAAACGGTTGGGTAGGGGGGAGACACGCCACAGCCGCCGGTGAGAACCGTGGAGAGAACCATGCAGGTGGGAGGCACGTTATCGAACCGGGCAACTGAAAGAGCACACAGCAAGTTAATGAAAATTCATCCAGAGTATCTCAAAGTGTAAGGAACGGAGGTGGTTGTACAAACCGCCGGCTCCAGGAATGGAGGTGTAGATAGTGACTCTGCCCAGGTCGGTGTTACACATGTCGAAGTTGTACTGCGGAACGCCGCAGTAGCCCGTGGCGGCGGCTGTCTCCAGCAGGCCCTCGCTCGCGGCACGGGTCTGGACGGTCTCGTTCAGGCCCGGTATAATAGACCTCGCCATGTCTTCGGTCGAGAAGGGTGTCAGGTGCCAGAGGTAGGGGGCACCAGGGGACCACCAGCTGTAGGGCCACAACCAGGAAAACTATTATCTAAGGGTTACACAAAAGCAGAGTTTACAGGAACAGGAGAATTAGGAGAAGGCAGATTAAAAAATAGTTATAATTAACCCCTAACTACACTATTTATAGACTCCTTTACTTAGTACTATAATACCTTTAATATATTTTAATCTTTACTTATCCTTAGGTATACTAACTATTAGAGCTATAATATTACCCTTTAACACCTAAGCTACTACTTAGTAAGGTATAAGTGTTACCTTTAGGTAACTAACTCTAGACAGTAGTAACGCCTAGGTGTAAGTAAAGAATAAAGGCCTACTAGTGTAATAATAGCTTTAAAGTAACCTTAAAAAAATAATAAAAAAGAAGCTTAGGTACTTTTTAGAAAAGTAAGTAAAAAAAGCTAAAAAAAAAAGATAGTTAACTAGATTCTAGCTTTAATAAATAAGGCCTTTATTAAAGAGGTATATAATATACTAGGCTTAGTTATTACTTTTTAGCTAGAGTATAAGTACTACTATATTAATATACTATTAAAGTAGTTACTTTTAATTTAATATAAGGAGGGTATATAAAATAACCTTTAGGACTTCTTATTTAAGCTAAAGGGATAGTTTAAAGTTATAAAAAAAGAATTTAAAGATAACTAAAGTAAAGTATAGTACACTAGCTTTATACTAGAGGGTAACCTAGTGTATAAGTAGTAAAGGTATATTAAAGCCTACTATAATAGCTAAATAAAGAAAATAACTTAAAAGGTAATAAAGACCTAGTTAAAGAATAATATTATTAATACTAATATATAAGCCTTTAGTATAATAGTAAAGCTTAATAATATAAAGTAAAAGGTTAACTAGTTATATTAGTAATTTATTAATAAGTATAAGACTATTAAGGTAAAGTGCTTTAACTTATAAGCTAAGAGGTAATAAGTAGTCTATATACTTAACTAGTTACTACTTAATCTAAAGAGCTATATATTAGCCTAGAGGATACTAGAGATATAATAAGCCTTTAATAATACTATATAATAGGCTAAGACACTAGCTAAAGCCTATACTAAAGATAAACTAGTAGACTAGTAGAGGTAAAATTAGGAGTAAAAGGACTAGTAGGCCCTAGCTATACTACTAAGTCTTAATATAAGGGTCCTTATAATAAAGCCTTAGTTTATATACTTTATATTTACGCCTATAATAACCTAGGGTATATTAACGCTAACACTAAAGGCCTTAAAGGTAAAAAAGAAGAAAAGTAACTATCTACCTTTAACTAGGCTATAGTACTTCTTAACTTACTTTAACTATAGTAAGCTAGGGTATCTATTAGCTAGCTATACTAAAAAAAAGTACTATAGGTATAGTTAACCTAGATACTTAGGTAAATAGTATATAATAAAGGTAATAAAGGTTAATACTATTTAATTACCCTAGGAAAAAGAGCTATACTACTAATTTAAAGTAGACTTTTATACTAAGATAAGTAGTATATAAAGAAAAAAAAAGTATTAATTAACCTAAAGGTAAATAAAAACCTTATATACTAAAGGATATTATATATAAGAAGGCTACTAGTAGTCTATAAAAAAAGACTACTACTATAGGGTATATAAAAAAGTAAGGCCTTAGATTATAGTTTAAAGAAGATAATATTAAAGGTAAAAGATAATATTAGAATATTAAAAATATAAAGCTATACTTTATAAGTAAGTAATATAAAAGAATATAATACTATCTTAGGGATCCCCTAGGGGTAAGTAGTAAAGCTTAACCTTAAGTAAAAAATAATTAACTAGACTTATTTACTAGGTAAAGACTATATTTAACTTATATAAGGCTAAAGGGTAGTTAAAAAGGCCCTAAAGGATACTAAGGTAGTCCTTATAGACCTCTCTATAATCTAACACCTAGGGTATAGGACACTAGAGAGAGCACTAGAGATACTTACTTATATACTAAAGAAGGACAAGGGGGCTAGTAAGGCTAGTAGTATAAAGGCTATAATACTAAGAGAATATAGAAAATAAGCCTATATATTTAATATAGACCTAGTAATAAAACTAGTAAAAGATAATATATAGATATATATAATAGAATTAGAACTAGGTATAGTACTACTATTTAGCTTTATTTACTTATTAGTAAAAAAAGAACTAAAAAAGCTAAAGAAGTATATTAATAAATCCTTAGCTAAAGGCTAAATATAGCCCTTAAAGTTATTAGCAAAGGCACTAATCCTATTTATACCTAAGAAAAAAAGCAAGCTTTACCTTTATATTAACTACTATAGGCTTAATAAGATTACTATTAAGAACTAAGTACTACTACCTTTAATAAAAGAAATCCTAGACTATTTAGTAAAAGTAATATAATTTATAAAGCTAGACCTTAAGAATATATACTACTAAGTAAAGATCTATAGTAAAAATAAATAGAAGACAGCCTTCTATACCTACTATAAACACTATAAGTATTAAGTTATACCTTTTAGGCTAGTTAATATACCTATAATATTCTAATCCTATATTAATAATACCTTAGTAGGTCTAGTAGATATTATCTATATTATTTATTTAAATAATATCTTAATCTTTATAGAGGATAAGGAGAACTATATAGAAGTAGTAAAGATAGTACTAAGCTAGTTAAACACTATAGGGCTATATACTAACCCTAAGAAGTACTTTTTTTATACTAAGTCTATTAGCTTCCTAGGTTTTATAGTATTTAATAAAGGTATTTTAATAGAATAAGAGAGAGTAGAAGTAATTACCTAGTAGCTACTACTTACTAGTGTATAGGAGATATAGACCTTTCTAAGGTTTATAAATTTTTATAAGTAGTTTATTAAGAACTATTCTAAGGTATATTCTCTCTTTATTAACTAACTATTTACTAAGGCAGTAGAAAAGTAAATAATTATAAAGGAAGCTAAGAAAGCCTTTTATAAGATTTACACTATATTTACTTATACCTTTATCTTATAGTATTTTAACTTTATATTACCTATTTAAGTTAAAATAAATATATTTAACTTTATAATAAAAGTAATACTAAGCTAGCTTTATAAAAAAGCCTAGTGCTCTATAGCTTATATATTATAGAAACTCTAGGGAGTAAAGTTATACTATAAAGCACTAAAGGCTAAGTTACTTATAATTTAAGAAGTAGCTATATATTAAAGGCACTATCTCTTGTATACCTAGTACTATATTATATTCTTAATAAACTATCTAAGGTACTACTACTTAGTAGCTAAGCTATAACTTAATAGCTACTAAGCTAGATTACTATAAGACTTTTTATTATTTAATTTTAAGATTAAATATTACTTAGGTAAAGATAATATAGTAAATAAGCTCTTATAAAGGCTAGACTACTAGCCTAGTAAAAAGAAAAAAAAAAGTATAAAGTATATTCTTAAAGAACTTCTTTAGTAAGTTTAAAAAAAAGGTAGTAGTAATTAGGTATAGTAGACTACTAGGTTAAGATATAGTAGCCCTAGAGGAACTTACTACTACCCTAGAAGAGGAAGTTACTATAGTATAACTAGAGGACAAGTAAATTTAGTCTAAAGAGTAGTAATAACTAGGAAGTTACTAGGCTAAAAAAAAAAATAAGTTACTTTAATACTAAGGTAGACTTATAATACTAGAAGAATATATAATAAAGATAAAGTTACTTATAGTGTTTTATAATAAACTATTAGGAGGACACCTAGAGGTAACCTAAATAATAAAATATATAAGATAAATATTCTTCTAGAAATTAATAAAAAAAGATATTAAAGAGTATATTAATATATATATTACTTACTAATATATAAAACTAAGGCACTATTTACCTTATAGAAAACTAGCTTCCTTTTTATTACTTAACTAACTATAGGAGTAAGTTATTATAGACTTTATTACTAAGCTACTAAAGTTAAAAGGATTTAATAGTAAAGTATATAATAATATCTTAGTTATAGTTAATAAGCTTATAAAGTACACTATTTACTTACTTACTAGGGAAACCTTAATAGTAGATTAGCTAGTAACCTTTTTAGTAAATAAAGTATTCTTTTATTTTAGACTTTTAACCTTAATAGTGTTAGATTATAGTTCTTTATTTATAAGTTACTTTTAGGTAGTAGTATATTACTAGCTAGCTATTAAACAAAAGCTTAGTATAGCTTATTACCCTTAAACTAATAAATAAATAAAAAAGTAAAACTAGAATATTAAATACTACCTTTAAGCCTTTTATAATATTAAGTAAAATAACTAGGTAAAATAGTTACCTATAGCTAAATTTATTTATAATAGTTTATAGTATAGTATAACTAAGGTTACACTAGTAGAGGCACTAATAGGCTATATACTATAGAGTATATATAATATACACCTAGTAAAGGTAAGACTAACAAAGGTCCCTAGGGCTTATAAAAAAGTAAAGTAACTATAGAGCTAAAGAACTATAATTAGTAGAACGTTAAAGGTAGTTAATTAGGCCTATAAGAAGTAGTATAATGCTAAGAGGTCTAATATAGATTTTAAAATTAAAGAAAAGGTCCTTCTATTAGCTAAGTTTATTAAGTAAAAAAGACTATCTAAGAAGCTATTAAATAAGTACCTTAGCCCTTTTATAGTAAAGTAAGTAGTTAACAAAGGTAAGGCCTATAAGATAAACATAAGTACTAGATATAAGATCTATAATATCTTCTCTTTATCTTAGCTAAAGAAGTTCTAGAGATTACTAGTAAAGCTTTAACTTATACTAATTAAAGAAAAAAAGAAAAATATATATAAGGTAGATTAAATTATAGCCTATAAGAGGCTATAGTAAAATTAGTAGTACTTTATTAAGTAAAAGAGGTATAGTAAGAAAGAAAACTCTTAAGAACCCTAGAAGAATATTATAAAAAGGTTATAATATAACTATAAGTAAAGGGTTACTAAGAAAAGACAAAAGTATAGCTAAGTAAAGTAAAAATTAGCCTAAAGATAACTAGATTAAAGATTTAATTATTATAGTACTAAAGCTAAAGAATATAGGTAGCCTAGAGGCTAAGTATTTAAAAGGTATAATAAGTAAAAAAAAATAAACTAAGAGAAAGGCTAAAAGAGCACTAAGGGTAGTAGTAGTAAAGCTTATTTACTACTTTACTTATTATTCTCTAAATTACTATTACTAATATTTTTATTATTATTATTATTATTATTATAAGTAAAAAATATAAGAAATATAAAAGTACTACCTTTATTTTTATTAGCCTTAGAGTTAAGCTTACTAGTATACTAAAGAGAAGTTAGTAACTAGTATAAGAGGTACTAAGGGAGCACTAAGAAAGTATTAAGGAAAACACTTATAACCTAGGAGTAGGTCTAGGACTACTTTAAAAAAAGGGTAGTCTAAGCTATAATAGTAGTAGTTTACTTCTAGAGGGTAATAGTCTAGGCCTTAAAGACTATAGTAATAACCTTAGTAGTATAAAGTATAGACTTAGCTAGCTTAACCTAGTAGTAAAAAAAGTTAGTAGTAGTCTTAAAGGCTATAATATAGTACTAGTAAAGAAGCTACTTTTTCTTTTTAGCCTTAGCCTTATACTTAGTATTAAGGGCCTTAGCTAAGTTAACCTAGTGCTAAAGTACCTTTTTAGCTATAACCTAGGCCTTATTAATCTTATCTTAAGCTAATGTTAGTATAAGGGGTTACTAAGGGGACACTAAAGAAAATAAATATATAGTAATACTATAGTAAATATAAGTAGGCTTAGTAAAATAGTTTATAGCTTTAAAAAGGTAGTATAGCTTAATACTAGCTATAGTAGTAGTATAAGTAGCTTATTTAAGAAGTTAGTAGCTACTAGAAGTTATAAAGATAATAAAAGTAAAAGTAAATATACTAAAATATAAGGCTTACTATATATAGTAGTATAATAAGTATACTTATTACTAGTAGCTAAGATATATTAGCTAAAGTACTAAAGAAGAAACACTAGAGAGGCACTAGGTATAAAGGAAAGTATATAGGTAGTCTTTATATAGTAAAGAAAAGTAGTAGTATAAGTGCCTAATATACTAAGACACTAGTTAGTTATTTAGTAAATATAGTAGTTATAAGGTATATTATAAATAAGCTTATTTTCTTTAATATAGGTATAAGAGTAGTAAAAAGTAAATAAAATAAAAGAAAGTACTAAGAGGCTAGTAAAACTACCTTAGTTAATAAGACTAGTAGTAGTAAGGCTAATAGTAGTAGTAGTAGTATTATTAGTAAAAGTATTAGTAAAAGTAAAAAAAAATATAGTAGTAGTAAAGAAGCTAGTACTAATACTAGTACTATTATTATTACTATTACTACTAAGTAGTAGTAGTAATAGTAGTAGTAGTAGTAAAATAAAAAAAATAAAAAATAATAATAAAGTAAAGCTATTAAAAGAAAAAAAAAAGAAAAAAATTAAAAGTAAAAAAATTAAAAAAAAGTAAAACTAAAAAAGTTACTTAATTAGGCTAAGTAAGAATAATAAAGTAAGTTATAATAGTATTTTAAGCTTATAAAGTAAAAAGAAAACAGTAAAAAAAAAAAAAAAATAAGACCTAAGGGGTTACTAGTATAGCCTACTAAAAGGCTAAATAAAAGCTCTCTTTTATTATAAAAGTAATATAACTTAAGGCTTAGGCTATAAGAAAATAAAAGTAATAAAAGAGGTAACTATATAATAAAGGCCTACTAAAGGTATATAGTACTTAAAGAAGTATTATAGTTAAAAAAATAAAGAGGTAATAAAAGTATTATAAGTAAATAAGGTATTCTTATTATAAAGTAAGTAACCTTTAGTAAGGCTAGTTAAGTAATAAAGGCTTATAACCTAGCTAAAAATAACTATAACCTTAAAAAAATAATAGTCTTAGCCTAGTTAGACTATAATAGCTATAAAAGTAAAGTTAAAAATAATTAGCTAGCTAAGGAGATAACTATTTACCTAGTAATCTACTAAGCCTAGAGGTATTCCTAGATACCTCTAAGATACTAGCTAGTAGTAAAGCCCTAGGGGCCTACTAGAGTACTACTTAAGGTCCTAAGGACAGGACCTTAAGAGGGAAGGATTATATTAGGTGCCAGAGGTAGAGGGCACCAGGGGACCACTAGCTATAGGGCTATAACTAGGAAAACTATTATATAAGGGTTATATAAAAGCAGAGTTTACAGGAACAAGAGAATTAGGAGAAGGTAGATTAGAAAATAGTTATAATTAACCTCTAACTACACTATTTATAGACTTCTCTACTTAGTACTATAATACCTCTAACAAAGGGCTTGTTTAAAGGGGCAATCTTGTATATATAATAAACATAGCAGTTGATAATAGGACTAACAGTGGGGACCATTATAGTGAGGATAGAATACAAGAGCGTTGGAAGAGTGGCGAGAGGCATTGTGGCTGCTGGTGGTGTTTATTAGCTAGTAATAGAAACCTTCTGTGTAGATGGATGGTGTTTGTGGTCAGAACAGATGTTGGACGCTTTCATTAGGGGACCCAACGGCTATTTATTATAATATCTGTTGCCATAGCCTACTACTACAAGAAAGAGACCTTGGCCTGCTTGCGTCGTCGATTTGATCTCTCGGTGTCTATTTTCACGTTGGTCAAATGGTTGATCAGGCGATCTGACGGGCCCTCCTCACCTCCCAGGGCCGGCTCACACATATCTATTTACACCAACAGAACTGACGCTATTCAAATGCCACGAGGCGAGACCTACCCTGTTCTCTACCGAGTACCCTTTCCAGAGACTTGGGCGGCTGCCCGGCTATGCGATATTGAAAACCCACGGGGCCCGGATGAGAGGCAAAGAACAGACAAACCGACCAGTCGACCGCCAGGCAGACAGAGAGCAAAACTACGAGCCTGTTCGGGCTAACTGGCAACCATAGCACAGATCGCGCGTCTCGTGCTGTCGCACGCCGCTTGGGATTGCGGTGGCTCTGTCCTGCTCCCTCGACCACCCTTTCTCACCTCGTGACGGGCCGGTTAGGCTACGGAGATGGCAAGCAATACAATTAATGTTGGGTGATTTGAGAGCTTGTAGAATGTGTAACGACGATAGGATATGTCGTCTTCGGCTCTAAGTCTACGGCTCTCCATGTCATGTACTCCGCTCGGAGGTAGCCTGAGGGAAGAGCTTCGCCTCCGCAGCCATGACATGGATTTGAGGCCTGCGCCAATAACAACGACAATATTGACTCAACGCCGCAGCTGCGCATGGCTTGCGCCTGACTGTATAGCCACGATGGGAAAGACTCATCTCGGTCCAATGCTGCTGCTGTCTTTACGTAGTCTTCGTCCGGCCCTGCAGTTGTTGAGTTGAGTCTCGCAAGTTGTAATTGCCAACTGGGTTGACGTTGTTGGTTAGAAGACTCAAGGTTGACCATGCCAAGTCGCCGAGCGAGACCCTCCATGCTACAGTGGGGTAACAAAAGTCCAGCCGAGTCCTTACCTCGCGTCGCGATTTATTTTGCATTCGGCGGAACTTTTGCTTATCCACTTGTACGCTGATGGTGGTTCATGCCTCAGCTCATGTTGGACCAACACGAACTTCACCCATGTAAGTTCCTAGGACCGTGGCCATCATGTCGGTTTAACTTTGGGCCACACCGGCTCTCACCTTCCTTTACAGGTAATGTTGCTGAGGAAGGTAACTAACCGTAGGCTCTATGCAGAGTGATGGGTCTTCTCAGTCTCTCCACTCTCGGGCAACGTTTTATAAGTTCCATCGCGGCTGACTGTACGACGCGACAGCTGCCTTCCAGTCATCTTGCTGCAACATGGCGGCTATCATCTTAGTGTGGCCGGTTGGCTGGTTCTTCTTGTCCGTCCTGTTCTTTTTCCTTGGCCTGCGACATGAAACAAGACGACCAAGGTCGATTCTGGCCGCCCTGCAGGTACTTGCAGTTGCTGCGAGCCTAGGAGCCAGTGGCGAGATCTTGCGCGAGCTGCCCCTGCTTGCTGTGCCGTTTGTCATCGGAGTGACGGCGCACACGACTTCTATCCTGCTGCTGGACGTAGAAACCAGTACGGCCGGTCTTTCCCTCTCTGCGCAGCTAAAGACAACGACCCTGCTCTGGTGCAATATCCGGAGGTTGCAGCCCTGCAGCTCCCGGCCTACCATGGGTGCAACGCTGGGATGCCAGCGCCGCATCTCGTTTGGTCTAGGCTGCATCTCGAGAACCCTGGTCTTCTGGCTTGTTGACTGGTCAATATCCCAAATTCTACTATTCCGGACACTGCGCTCCCTCCCTCTCGGGATCCACAGCTTTGCGCCCGACAAGCGAACCGTCTTTCCGAGTCCCTGGACTTCTCCAGAGCTCGCATACCCGGACTATGTTCTCCGAGCCATCACGAGCGCGCACTGGATATGGGTCACATACTGCGGCTTGACGACGATGCACCATTTATCCGCCGCACTCTTCGTCTCGGTGTTGAACTGGGAATCTCCCAGCAACTGGGCGGGACCACCGCTTTTCGGCTCCATCTGGGATGCCTACACTCTCCGCCGCTTCTGGGGCGTCTTCTGGCACCGGCTGCATGTCGTCCCATTCTCGGCTTACACGCCGCCTCTGCCCAAGGCGCTTCGCGCTCTGTGGGTCTTCTTGCTTTCTGCGGCTGGCCACGCGCTGGTGAACTGGGTCATGCATCGCAGGGCGCACGCAGCATCCGAGTTGTGTTTTTTCGCCCTGAATTGGGCCCTGTGCTTGTGTGAACATGTTCTTGGCGTGGATGGCGGGAGGATGCCCGGCAGGCTCGCCAGCAAGCCCCCGTCAAAAGCCAGGCAAATTGTCGGTCTCTTTTACGTATGGGTGTTCTTCTTTTGTACCGTACCGGCGTGGCAGTATCCTGGAGTTTATATTAGATCCTGATGTTTAGGGCGTCATAGGTCTCTTTCTTAGCTATCCTAGGCAGGTTCCTTGCTTGCACAATATTATCATTGATGTTCTAGCACATGATCTATGGCAGGTGCCACTCTGTCGCGTTGATCTCCTCGTTTCCCATGACTACTCCGCTCCATCTTTCTTATCTAACCCACCAATGAGGGCCGTATCCGTAACTCTCCTCTTTCCCTTTATTTATTCACACTTCCGAGAGTGCACACTCCTGTGAAGCCACCAAAGCTGCACATATCAACCGATTGCAGAATTCTCGGATTTCCCGACAGCACCATGGCCGAGCCCCGTGATTCGACCGAGACGTCTCTGCCACCATACGACGCGCTCTCGGAGCCGTATCAGGAGGTGTGCCCCCCCACGACTCTCGTCATAGTAGGCCAATCGATCCACGTCCTGACGGCAGATTCGCCGCCACTGTATCATCTCAGTCTTGGTATTTCAAGCCTTTCGGATATCACCACGGAGGTAGAGCTCTCGCGCGTTGACCCGAAGCAAGATGGCTCGGAACGCCAACGCCATATATATGACTTGCGATATATGCGCTCGGGACCTGGTGGATACGTGAAGCTGCCGTCTGACTCGCCTCACTACTTTATCGAGCGTGCAACCCGTCGCGTCCCGGGCCTTCAGGATCTGGGCCTCAAGAAGAGCCGCTTGCCGGGAAAGGCATGTACGACAGTTCTGCCCGTTGACATAAGAGGCAAGACTAGCAGGTACAGCATACCCAACTTTGTCAAGGACAGCGCCCCTGTGTTCAGCATCAACAAAAATAGGTGGGCGGATGCGCAAGGGGCTCTGATTGCCTCCATGCATGATACCACCGAGCGCAGCCTGGTCGTCACGGCGACCCTGCCGCGCGCCCATTTTGACATGCTCGTAGCACTGTGGTGCTGTAAGGTATGGGAGTCTGGGGTTGCCAATGCCGAAAAGGTGCACGAGGGGATCGACGGAGGTGAGCAATTCAGTTAAATATGTACATTCCAACACGCCATTTGGTCGCTGACTTGTCATCTGTGTGTTTAGTGAAGAGAAAGATGCGGCTGGCAAGGGAGTTTGGCATGAGTCGCTCAACCAGTAAGTTGCCATTCCTCATATCTGCGCCGGCTAGGATCGGTCGATTAACAGACTGTTTAGTGGGACCCGGAGGAGCGTCTGGGGCGTTTTGAGGTGGCGGGTGCGGAGTTCTGAATTGAAGATACAATTAAACTTGCTAGATACAAATATATCGCCTCTGCACTACCTAGTCATTGCTTTGAACCTTTGTACCAGTCCTTTTTTTGTAGGCCAGTGACCCCCAAAGTCGGCGGGGATAATGATATGGGCTGTCGGTTTGGCGCAGGGGCTTCCGAGGCCGGGACTACGGGAGGGACGTGCAGTATGACTCCAAGCCGGAGGAGGTCGTTAATGCTGGCTGCATGTCTTTTAACTCACCTCACCTAATCTACATAAAGGGACCAGAACCGTCGTCGCAATAACTACAAAAGACATAATACCCTAAAAAGCATGTAGGGAGCCAGCAGCGTTCTTGTCTTTATCACCCGTACTAGCATTGTCGTTGTTGCTTGCACTAGACAGCGGTCCCTTGGCTACGTCGCCGGGGCCAGCAACCCACGCAAAGCCCAACAAGACCTTCTTGGAGTAGGCTGGGGTTGACGTGCCCATTGTACCATCGTCTTGGGTCGTCAAGCCCTTGACACACCTGGCTCTGTTCCAGTTCACGTCCGCTACCGCAGACCACAGGCTAGTCATATTGGTTAACGTGTCCTAGGTATAGAATAGCTTGCAGTTAGCTACCTTGCAGTGGAACTACACAGGCGTGCTGAGGTCGTCATCAGGATAAACGTTTACAGAGTTGACAGTCCAACCATCTGTAGGCATGCCAGCGAGCAGTGGGTTTGCCTCAGCAAAGGGTGTTACATTAATACCCTCAGGCGGCTTAACGGGGCCAAGGGCCGGCCATAGCTTCTGGTAGCTGCCAAGCATGATGACGGGGCCGCCCTTTGTGCTGCCAACCGCCTACACAGGTGCATTAATAGGACAATCGCCTATAGCAGCAACCTGACCACCAATCTTATAGGTCATTATACTAACAATATAGGCGCAGGCGGATGCACAGTAACCGTCAGTTACAATAATAGTATCCTCAGGCTTGAACTAGGGATTAGGGATAGCGAAGATGCCTAGGAGTCTATTAGCAGTATAGGACACCTCCAAGGGCTGGATAATGTTGGTGTATTCATGCTTGCCAATCTTCACAGGGCCATAGAAGCTACTCTAGTCTATGAAGTTCTTTATAACAAAGCGGGTAGGTTTTTATGCGTACTAAGTTAGCCCATCTCATATTATCTTCTATTAGCTAACCTGTACATTAATCTTCAATATTTCCAGCTGCACTGAACGTGATTGTCTACTAAGCCTAAATTGCGGTTGCTTATCTAATCCTCTCTACGTTTATCCTTATTCAAATAACAAAATATTTGTTATACACAATACATTTGTTACCCATCAAAGCCTTAAACCAGACTACAGAGAGCCTTGTCTTGTCTATAATACGCATATTCCACCGACGTTATGCCCGCAGTCGACAGAGAAGCCACCCGGCTGGTCGCAGTTGCCCTGCGGGTTGCTGGCGTTGGTCGACTTGTACGCGTCTTGGTTACAGCTGCACAGGTTGCATACGTGATCGTCGTATTTAATATCGCCGCAGTAGCACTTGATGCACCCGTTGATACACAGCTTTTTTTTTGATGATGTGCTTGGGTCGTCTGCTGCAACTATTGTCGCCAGCGCCAGGGCAGACACGATAGTGAGAAACTTCATCTTGATTGTAACGTGATGTGGTACACGAGTGTTTTGGAGTCGTTTAATGGTAGGAAGTAGAAATAACCGCCTGGTGAATCTAGTTTGACAATCAAACGACGTGAATGGAGCGTGGTAGTCTCTAAGGCTTACTCAGGCGATAGTTTCTTTAGTTGCTGCTTACTGCCTTTTAGCAATAGGCTAACCCTCTGTACTTATACACA